AAACAACTGTGATATACAAGACAAACCCGGAGAAGGTACATATAACCATACTGTATGGCGTTAACAACACAATTTCACTGGAGGACATCAAAGACAAGGACTTCACCGTTACGATTCTTACTCGTTACAATGTGACCGTCTTAAGAGACACTGACTGTACACAAGTGGAAAAACAAATCAATGGAACAATGATTGAGATGTACGAAACTAATCCTGATTTCATTTCTCAACTAATCCGTGTAATATTTTTACCGGTTTTTTCGTTAATTGTCATCTGTGTTTGGTGTTTTCTTTGCTATATGAAATACCGGTAGCTGCAGATACTGTATTCTGAACGCTTCGTAAGTAATTTAAAAACATACATCTAGGTTTTGTATTTTATTTTGACTTGGCTTAAAACTACAAATGTAGTTTTCATAGGTCATTTGCGCGATGGCGACATTTTACTGTTAACAACGCTATTAGACTTCGCGCATATATTAAAGCATGTGTTAATTATTCACAGTTGTCAGTTTGACTACTGAACTTTAGTCTGAGTCGCATCGCCGTTTTGGGAGCGCGTCCGTCCCAACGTGCCGAAGCCATGGTCCAAGAGATGTCTCTTCATCTTCTTCAAGCTCTGCTCGGCCACTTATTTGTTCATTAACCTCGTCGACATCACAAGCTGTTTTGCAAGCTTAGCGCAGTTAGCGGCAGCCGGGGATGACAAACTCGATCGAACTTCGAAAATTCCACCATGTTTGATAAATTAAACTCGACAGAAAACTCTCAGGTATTTTCAGTTTTCGATGTTGAATTTGGTCTAAGTAGCCTATGATTTGATAGTGTTTTTGCTGGTTGTTATAATTCTCATTTAGTTGCTCTGGACCATTGATAGCTAGGAAACCAGGGGTGTGATGGCCCTACAAAGAAATTATCATCGTTAATGGACAAGCTCCTTCAGACTATAGCAGAACTGTACAACGAAAATACGAAAGTCCCAGCGGACGTCATACTTGTTTCAATGGATGTAACGAGCCTGATACAAATATAACTCAAGAGGAGGGAATACACACGGTATGCAAAGCATACGAAACATTCTACATAAACGAACCTCCTCTCTTTACACAACTACTAGAACAATACTCTAAACGTCTTTCAATGTGTTAGGAACCTGGCTTTATGAGATAACCAGACTTCTAAATCAGTAACCATTAGAATAGTAAAGAATCTGTTGGAACTGAAGTCACTGAAGATAACTGTTCAGGGGCACCCAACCAGAACATAGTTCAAAACCACTTAAGCAGAGCATTGTTGAACGTATTTTAGTATTTAAACAGTAGGTATAGGCATATTTTTATCCCGTACAAATTTTTCATCTGTTCGGATTTCCTAACTGAAAGTCTAGTGATCCGAAAATTATAGGGATCAAATCTTACTTTTTCGAAAATTTCAGCCAGAAAAAAGGCTCCCGAAAATTCTAGGTCACCTTTTTAGGGTAAACTGAAAATCCGTTAAAAATGGGCAGTTATACCATGAGATGTTAGAAAATCCTAGGAGAGGCAGGCAAGCAAGAACCTTTACAATAAATGCTCCGAAAATTCTAGATCTCCAATCGTCTTCCGAACAGATACTTTCCAAAAAACTGACGTTGGGTGCCCTGACTGGTGGTTAATTTACAAAACAAATGTGGCGGAAGGTATATCGAGACTATAGATGGCGTAAATAACATGCACACAACTTCACCGGAAGACATCAAAAAGAAGAACTTGATTTTTTTAAAAACCCACTTTTTTGCGAGTAGTTTGTTATGAAATTCCAACTTGTTTACAATAAGTTTAAGTTTTTGTCTTCTTTTTCTTTTTCCCTGCAAGATATTGTTGTACGAATGGTGGCAGGAAGTTTGTGTACTGTAGTATAATAAATCGTCATTCATGTGTTGAAATGATCGTGACACGCATCCGTATAGTAGTTTTACGCCATGACCATCATTTGTCAAAGGAGCTATGTCACGATGCATGATACATGATGATATTGCAGTTTAGGTCAGCAATTCTGTGCTGATGTTATTACTTAATAGACCATGTCATGGTTTTCGACGCCATCTTGACGAGTAGGCAAACGTGTGACAAATTATGGTCATTGTAGGGTGAGGATCTAATGTCGAATAATTTCCGTAAAGCGGCTGTTCTGAAAAAAAATATCAATTGTAAACTAAAGCTACAACGCAAAGGATTGTCCTAAAATAATTTGGGGGCGTACGTGTACTTAAATTTCTCCAGAGGCTTGCTTTAGATTTTCCATATATTTGTCTGTAATTTTCCCGAGACTTTAATTTCTTACAGACAAACGTGTAGAAAATTTTAAAAAGTGGTTCTAGGTCTTCTAGTGCAATTAACGCCCTCAATTTTTTTCAGGAGAATCCTTAGGAGTGAAGCTTTAGTTTACAAATAATATTTTTGTCAGAACAGACGTTCTACGGAAATTATTCGACATTAGATTCTCACACAATCACTGTAACTTCTGAGGCGTTTGCCTAGTCGTCAAGATGGCGTCGAAAACCGTGACAAGGTCCATTACTTCCAATACACATAGACAAAAATGCTCCTGTAGAAGGCTAATTTTGTCAGCCGAAATATTGGCCTCCAATAAATCAACCTTTTGCCGTAGTGTCAGCCTTGCATTCAGTTTTGTTTAAGCTCCTGTAGAGTTATGAAGTAGATATGATCAAACCACAAATTTCATCATACAAGGATCGGAGTACTAACTATTACAATATCATAGATGACGAATTACTCCTTAATTTTGGCGCGAAATTTCAGCGATAATTTGTAATTTCACATGATTGCAAAAAGGCCATGGCAACCTTCCGTACGTCTCAGTGTCAAGATGGCGACAAAGTTTCAAAATGTCATGAACGAAGATGCCAGGGCACAAAAAGACGCCTTAAAAAACCTGAACACACGAAAGAGCACATCAAGATAGATTCTAACAGGTATTTTGTTGAAAAATTTTGAACTTAAGCCAAATTTAAGCTCTAAACGTTCGAGAGAGGGAAGTTCTCGATCGATGCGATTGCTAACGTAATTCGTCACCCATGATATTAATAGGTAACCAAATGGTATACTCGTGAAATTAGGGAATAATTTCACTTGCGTTTTGTCCAAATCGTAATATTTTAGGATTTGGACAAAACGAGCGTGAAATTATTCCCTGATTTCACTCGTCACCATTTGATTACACATACTAATTTTTTTTTTTTGGGGGGGGGTTGTAGGCATAGTAGTAAGGCTTGAAAAGGTTGGACCAATCCATGCTCATCTTGCCACCCTCTGCAGCAGACGACGGGAAACTGTTTCAATGCCTAAATATAGTCTCAGATAACAAGACTGGTCCAATAGAGAGGGGACGTATGACGTCACATTACCATGGTAGCAAAATTTCTGGTTCACAACAATAGGGAGCTTGAGCAAGGACGACGGCGACGGTAAAGAGAACAGCAAACAAAGTAATAGGTTTATGTTAGCAAAACAACATCACGCTTTTTTGCACATTTCTTAGCCGTGGTTGTACGACTGCGACATGAAACTTCCTAATTTCATGCGCCCGCTTTATGGAGTAGGAGAACAAAACACAAAAAGATGCTTTTTCTTTTTCTAAACTTAGATAAGGTCCTTTCGGATTCACCACCAGAAAATGTCGCCAACATTTGACAAATGAAATGAAATTGAATAGATCGATGAAGTTTGAAACAGTGGGTATTCACTTTTTGAGTGACGTTTTAAGTCTGTTGTCATTCAAAAATTTGCTACCATGGCAACGTGACGTAACGACTTCTCCTCTCTATTATTTTGGAATTCAATAAGGACAATTGCACGATGACGTCATTTTGCTACAACTACCAGAATCCTTGACTTTGTTGTTTTCTTGTGCAAATTAAGGCTATTGTTCTTTAATTCTCAGCGGGATTGACAAATTTGAATAACAAAGCAAAACCGAAATGAATTCTGGTAGTTGTAGTCAAATATCGTCATCGTGCAATTGCCCTATTGACGAGAAAAATGTTTTAGTTCGAGCTGATGTCACGTGACAAGTTTCAGCTAGTATAAGATTGCTCCATACCTACTTTGTCTCCGAACTTTTTAGTTTCAGAGAAACTCTTTTGCTATTATTCGGCAATATTATAAAATAATTTGAATTGTTAGGTGATGAATTTTTTTTTTTTGCGAACTGTGGACCCCAATTTTTCGGCAAAAAGCACCTTTTCAAAGAAATAACGCTGGTGATTGGCGATATGTTTGGTGTTCAGAAAAAGCAGATGTTGGGAATACATGTCCCGAAATCCAAGTTCGCGCCCTCGCTTTAATTTGTCTTAGAGCAACTATCTTTATAGTTCTACGGAAAAATGTTCTCATCTTTTTAGTCAGAAAGTTCACTTTTTGATATCGTTTTTTGCGGTGAAAAGACATTTAAGTATGTCAATTCATATAATGGAACACACTTTCAGTTCTTTAGCTAGTGCCCAATGCACTGTAATTCTCTTGAATTTCTTTTTCTTCCGTAAACGGTTTTTTTGAAATTTTTTTGTCGTATAAATTCATTAAAACAGCACGTGGTAAAATACGTTTAATAGCAGAAATATAAGTTGACAAATACAACAATTTATTCGTAAAATTGTAATCAATGGCGAACTCAGGCCAAGATTTGATTTCGCACCTAGGAAATTTTGGTTATGAAGTAATCGTACGTTAGTTCGCAGAGTTTCTCTTATATTTAAGCTGATGTGAAATGTAACACTTACTAGCTAGGTGGCCAACCTTGTGTGTAAGTTAATACAACATCCATATCATACGTAGTCAATTGACAAAACAGGGTATCCGCTGACCAGAATTAAGTGTAATTCAAGTTGAGTGTAATTCGCTCTTCATAAGAAAATCATTTACGATAAAGCAATGCGTGTTAATAGTACAAATTTAACTATCAGCTTACTAAAAACAATTTTTTTTGTTAGCCTCGCTTCCTTATAAAGAATAATGCTCATTAAGCAATCCCATCAGCATGATTAGAGTAACAATCAACTTAAAACTGACGCCGGCTATGTTAGTTTTGTTGGGGTTGAATTCATACAGCTGAATCATTGTTCCATTGACTTGTTTTTCCACTTGGGTGCAGCTTGCGTTTTCCGCGACAGTGACATTGTATCGAGCACGAGTCGTGACTGTGAAGTCCTTTTCTTTGATGTCTTCCAGTGAAATCAGTGTGTTGTTAACACCATACAGTATTGTTACCTTCTCCGGGTTTGTCTTGTAGATCACAGTCGTGTTCAGTTCCAAGAGATTCTTTTCAAGTCCGTCTTTCAGGGTTGGAGGTGTTGAGACGTTTCTCAGACATAAGTGTCCATTCGAGTCCAGTAAACTCACTCTTTCGGACGACAGCCTCACTGCTCTTTCTTCGGGAATGGATATGTATCTTCCATAGACTGCAAATCCTTTCCAGTACACTGGAGCTTTTGCCAGTACATATCTCGTTACGAGAAAACCAGCCGCGATTCTGGTGAATAGTATGGTTCGTGAACCACGTATCGCTTGAGACTTGATCACTGGAGTAGAAAACTTCACCGGCTTTATTGGCGTAGTTTTGGTAATTTTGAGCTTTAAAGACGAACCACCACGGCGACTTGAGCTAGTTCTGCTGCTTCCTCGGCTGCCTTTGCTCCCGCTGCTCCATCCGCCACGACTACTACTACGACTAGATCCTCCTCGACCACCTCCACGTGCATCAACATCGTGTAACAACAGAACGATAACCGAGATTGCGAGGAGGGCAACTGTCAGAGGCTTCATATTATAGGACCTGTGCAAGACGTAATCAACGGAAGAGCTCTCTGTACAAGTAGAAATCGCTATAAACCAAAGTAAAACGCGAGAAGAATTCCGATGCTTTTCTCACATATGAACTGATTAGCCTGAGCTGCCCTTTGAATTTATACATAGTTGATGAGAATAATATTCCCGATCTGGCAGCTGTTGTTTCGTCATGGCTGAAACCGAAACAACTCTTTCTATCTTTCCATGTTCTTTCGCTTTTTCTACGCCAATGGGAAAATTTATTGCTCTTTTGTGGTTAAAAGTAAAAGCCACTGCCATTTATTTTGAATTGAGACAGTTATGGTTAGGTTCAGTGATTTCACAAGAAAGGAAATTTATTTGGGTGCAAATAAAAATGTTTATGATCCCTGGTCAGTTCAACTAGTATAGGTAATAGCATGATTTGTAGTAATATAGTGGTATAAATACCACGAGTGATATCTCAAAATTGTTATACGTAATTTCACGAGCCGTTAGGCGAGTGAAGTTTGAGACAATTTTGAAATATCACGAGTAGTATTTATGCCAAATATCCCGTACAAATCATGCTATTATTTGTTTATACTAAAACCCACAAAAGGTTTATAATTTTCACATGTAGGTATTTCAAATTAAGCTGAAATACCACTGCTCTAAGCCAATCAAATTGCAGTAATTTCTCATGTAGTAGTATAAAAACAAATATTATGAACTTTAACTAACTGAAATACAAACTAGGAAATGTTAAGTCGGCTAGGAAGCGAAGTGCACTGGGTAAATAAGGTACAAAAATAGATTAGCATTAATCACAAGATTATTACGTACTCGGTCGGAAAAGTACTAGCTGGGATAAAAATAAAATAGTGGTAATAATACCAGCCGGGAATTTACTAGTCGGAATATTACTAGCTTGGAAACTACTAGCCACGAATTTGATTGGAAAAGTAATTTGCTTGGATTTTATTGTGGGTATAAAGCCCCGTGGAAAACGAACGCAACATTATTGGCCAACAACTCCCAGTTGCACACCCTGTTGAATGCCCGGAGGGGTACTCCCCCATCAACCTCATCCCCAGGGCACTTTTTCCTGACTTTGGAGGCGTGAATCGAAATATGCCATCTATGTCATTTTTTGGACTTGATCGACATTTAGGACTGACCCCAAACTCTAACACGCATAATCTTATAGACTGTTTTCACATGACGTCACGCGGCCATATATATACGTACAAAACGATGAATCGGCTGCCATGTTTGTGTACAAAAAAAATCCCGTGGGAATTGAATTTTCTTTTAATCCAAGCAATTTGCAAAGCTGCTGACCACGTGACTGAAAACGATCTATTGAAAAAGCTCAGCACTCTACATATTTTGCATCCTCGGAGACCCTGGGGCACATAAAGGGGGCGAGGGAAAGTCTAAACGGGCGGAAAAATGTATATGGAACGAAGAAAAGTAAAGAACGGCGAGAAGAGCCCCTGGGGACAATGTCTTAGCAGACCAGTTCCAAACGGTCGCCGCCGTTCTGGCTTCTGATTGGTGCCAGAAAAACACAAGTTTTCTGGCACCAGTCAGAAGCCAGAACGGCGGCGACCGTTTGGAACTGGTCTGCTAAGACATTGTCCCCAGGGGCTCTTCTCGCCGTTCTTTACTTTTCTTCGCGCCACATTTTTCCGCCCGTTTAGACTTTCCGTCGTCCCCACTATCTGCCCCTGGGTCTCCGAGGATGAATATTTTGACACTTTGAACGCAAGGCCCGCACGGCCTTTTTTAAAGACAAAATAAAAGTATGAGTGCATGAAATAAACTAACAGCATCCACAAGGGGGCCATACCAAGTGTGTGACCGTTCGCTTGCTTTAAATTTATGGGAAGAAAGCGTTTTAGCGTTTGAGTACTAAAAACTCGCCTTTTACGCTCAAAAGAACGATAATACACAACATTAAAGGTAAGTTCACATTTATTTTGCCAAAATTTACTAATTATTCCATGAGGCTCAGTATGGTATGAAGAATTATGCGTATCAAGAAGGGTGTTATCCGTCGAGGCCGATCGAAAGCCCAATAGGGATAACACCCTCATTGATAAGCATAATTCTTCATATCATACGGAAGCCGAATCCAATGATTATTTCATTATTCATTCAAAATATTTCCAACTGAGTCAACCATACATGCAAAACTCTATCCATGTAACACATAGCCATTAACCTCCTCCTCAGAAGTTTTAAGTTATAACGAGATGTTCAATTCTAGCAGACATTCTTCAAATAGCAATTGCAATCGGCTGAGTGGTATTTCTTCTTCGCATAACGAGTGAAATCTTCCATCATTTCACTTGCTCTGCCAAGATAGCTGAGCTACCCTGCCTTGTACTGCTGTCCCTTTTTCTGTCGATATCCGTACAAGTGACGTCAATTTTACAGATATCGGCAAACACCTTTGTCAACTTTAGCTAGTCATGAAGAATTAGTAGCGGTGTTGAAGCCAATAAGAAACGGAGAAATATTTTGAACGAATAATAATAGTTAATATTCATCGCAGTATTTAGCGACATTTTACCAAACGATCGATATTCCCATACACTTCCTATACGTTTAAAATAAACAAACTTTCATGCACTGGTTTCAATGTACGTCCACAAGTCAAGTCAAGTCAAGTTTATTGTGTATATACGCTTAGCTTTTATGAAACAATTTCCTAGTTAGTTTACATGTATTACCCAAAATCCAAAACTACAATAATATCGAACATACTTTATCATGCCATTCTTCGAAAAAAATTGTGCAATCTCCCCATTTCGGACGGTATAGTGTCTGGACTGGGTCTTATACATGCATATAAGTGGAACGGAAAAAATAAGTTCATTCGTTCCATTTGGGTAATAATGCGCGTCAGAACGAGTTATACAATTGATGTCAGCAATTAACCAATACTCTGAGGAAGTCAAACAAGACGGGGAGCCTCGTAAAAACAACACTGCAAATCTAATAACGCTGTGGCTAGCAACAGCGATCTAATAACGTTATGCACAGACATGGACCTCCATTAACAACAATAATAACCGCAATAATTACCATTATGATGATACCCGTATATTCGTTTTCCGCATTGGGGTTAAACTCATACAAATCAATCATTGTTCCATTGATTTGACTTTCCACTTGGGTACAATCATTATTTTCTACGACTGTGACATTATACCGAACACGAGTCGTAACTGTGAAGTTCTTGTCTTTGATGTCTTCCAGTGAAACTGTGTTATCAACGCCGTACATTCTGATTACTTTCTCCGGGTTTGTCTTGTAGATCACAGTCGTGTTCAGTTCAAAAACATTCTTTTCTATTCCGTCTTTCAGGGTCCGAGGTATTGAGGAGTTTCTCCGAGTGAGACATAAGTTTCCATTTGAGTTCAGTAAACTCACTCTTTCGGACGACAGCCTCACAGCTCTTTCCTCCGGAATGGATACGTATCTTCCATAGACTGGAAATCCTTCTCGGTAAAGTGGAGCTTTATCCAGTACATATCTCGTTACATGACAACCAGCCGCGCTCTTGTGAACAGTTTGGTTCGTGAGCCACTAATCGCTTGAGATTTGATTACTGGAGTACGGAATCTGACAGGGGCACCCAACGACGGTTTCCCCCTAATTGCATTGAAAACACTTTTTAGGTTATCCAGAGCACTTTTAGATCACTAAAAAAGTATTCTAAGTGGCGCTAAAAAATTTTTATCTCTTCGGTCATTCTAGGGCAAATTGAGTCTATTAGAAATTACAAGGGCTTCAGTATTATTTTGCCGAAAATTTTAGCTGCAATTTAAAGTTTTACGAAAGTGAGAATTTTTCTGATTCCTCCCTGCATTGTATTTTCGATTCCGAAAATGTAGGTTTCCTTTCTCTACGAAAAGTAGCTTAACCTGGAAGTGATATGGGAAAAATTAAACTTCAGAAAACCGTAGGGAATTTATTAGATAAGCTTTGAAAATTGTACATGAATGGAACGGTCATCTAGAAGTTTTTAGCCTTCTCAAACCTTAGAAAATTCTAGGCAATTTTTGCTTCTCCGATCAGATATTTCACAGAAAACAGCCGTTGGGTGCCTCTGAGTTTGATGGTGCTGCTCATTTCAACACAAGTTCTTGCCTCATCCTCACGTTAAAACCTTATGACATCGCACACCTTTTCTTTCGCTTCAAAATCATGTGTGCGTTAAGGTACGTAGGAAAAAACGCGTCAGTGAAAATCACCCTTCAATTGATCCTTGCTTAAAAAGAAAAAGTTTTCGGCAATATTTCTCGAGAATTTATTTTATATATTTTTTTGTAAATTTACCTGAAATATTTTCCTTATCCGCTCTCTATAAATTGCATATTTTTGTAATTCGTGATCAGTTTATTTTGCGAGTGCGTATTAGAATTAGGTCGAAGCCGTTTCATCAAGGTACCACAGCATGAAGACTGTGACAGTTGTCCTCGTAATTTTGGTTTTTGCTGTTCTGTGGCTACATGATGTTAGAGGTGCGGATGAATGTCGGATAATTTCAATCTCAAAGCTCAGCAAAACTACACCAATAAAACCAGTGAAATTCTGTACTCCAGTAATCAAATCTCAAACGATACGTGGATCACGAACCAAACTCTTCACAAGAGTTGCTTCTGGTTATCTCGTAATGAGATATACCCTGAATGAAGCTCCAGTTTACCGTGAAGGATTTCCAGTCTATAAAAATTACGTGTCCATTCCTGAGGAGCGAGCCGTAAGAATTTCGTCGACATCACAAGCTGTCTTCAAAGCTTAGTGGCAGCCGAGGATGACAAACTCGATCGAACTACGAAAATTTCACCATGTCTGATAAATTATACTCGACAAGAAAACTCTCAGGTATTTTCAGTTTTCGATGTTGAATTTGGTCTAAGTAGCCTATGGTTTCATAGTGTTTTTGCTGGTTGGTATAATCCTAATTTAGTTGCTTTGGACCATTGTTAGGAAACCAGGGC